AAACCCACCCGATGACGCGGTGCAGACAGATCACTGCGTGGCAGCAGTATACCCCGGATGATGATCCACAACTCCGGTGACGCCAGAGTCAAGGAGGCAAAATCACTCGCGATCAGCGTGACAGCAGCACACTCACTGTCGGTGCTGGCCCATCTGGCTATATAATGCAAAGCTTAATACCACGGAGGTTGTCCTACATTCTGCCTCGGTTGCAGCTACTCCAGCATGGAAGCCTTCTACGGATCGTGGAAATTGGAAAGCAGTGGTGATGTGAGTGCAATTGCTAAAAGCCTGGGAGTCACACTACCGCAAGAACGATTGGCCCAAATGTCGAATTCGGTCCTGGAATTCTCCCCAGCTGATGCCGGACACTATAACATGAAAGTAAAAATGGGTCCCATGACTCACCATGTAAATTTCAAGCTGGATGAGGAGTTTCAGCACACTACACTGGATGGTAGATCCGTTAAGGCAAGATTCTGACTCAGCATTCCCTCATATTTCATGCTTGTTATTACTGAGACCTAGTTTCCACGTAAATGTAGTGCTATTATGTGTGCCAGTCCTCTGACTAAATGGTTCCACAAATATCCATCAGAGCAGATGGGCAGCCGATTCTTTGTATCTAGATTTACTAACCTCAGACTTTGAACCTCCAATGAGAAGTGCAGTAGAAATGATAGACCAGCTTGTACTTACTATAGTGAATCGGCTAAACGATAGGTACTTATTTGATTTGTATGCATGTATATGTGAGTCGCCATATATACATATGTGTGTATATTTCAGGGGTGAGACGATAGAGGCTGGGAATAAATTGATTTAGAATCGGGATTTTTTCCGTCCAGACAGTCATTCATAACTTATGCCAATCATTTTTACCCCGTGAAGCTAATGGATCTGTGTGCGTCCGTTCCTGAGTGAATGCATATGTATGGCAATGCTTATATACGATCCTCGGAGCGTACCATCATTGATAACTGCAAAGATAAATTTGCAAGAAACGTCTACGATGATGGAGCGAATTCAGAATAAATTATCTGAAAAAAACGGTAATTTTTGTGTTCATATCCTTTGTAGATGGTTATGAAACTGGATGGCAACAAGTTGACAATTGATCAGAGAGGTGACAAAGCCATGCTCATTGAGGACGTTGTGGATGGTAAAAATTTAACAGTGGTGAGTGGAAATCAGTCATTTTGCTTTTTCGTTAAGGTAACAGATGATCGTGCGTTTTTGTAAGTGACAACACTGCAATGAAATTATGTGCACTTTTGTGCTTTTTCCTTAAAGCGCAGATAATAGGGTATCTTTGTATGCAACAATTATGCAGTGAAAGAATGGTGGAGAATTGTCTAGAGTTCACGAGAGACACAATACCAGGAAAAAGGCCCGTTAAACAGCTGCAAGGAACACTGAAAACTACCTGATGCATAAGCTAGTTTGCCTTAAACAGCTGCTGTCCAGAGTGCTATTACACCACATATGTCGTTGATGAGATTTCACTTCAGATTAGCCGACTGACACTAACAGCACCAGCATCGATTTTGCAGAACTGTCCTCGTGTCATTAGGAAAAATATCGAGGATGCCAAAACCCGAAGGCAGGAAATAGACCTAGATGGAGAAGTTGGGCTGAGGCGACGGAGTGTACCCGCAGCTCAGTAAGCTGTCGGAGCAAGCCCTCTCACCAGGCCAGTGTCAGCCGCAGTGCATTCACCTAAGTT